GATAGATAGATAGATAGATAGATAGATAGATAGATAGATAGATAGATTGATTGATTGATTGATTGATTGATTGATTGATTTTGGTGAAACAGACAACTCATCCCTGTTTGGAACTTTGTAATTAGAAACATTGTTCATAGTTTAAATGAGTCAAAAAATAATTTGACTTTTCATTGCTGAGCTGGCACTTTGATATATTTTACAGCTTTACACAATCACAGTTTAGGTTTCATTATTTTGGGATTCATTTTTTTTTTTTTTTTTTTGAACAATTGATATCACACAATTCAACTACTGAAATGCCACCAAACAAAATCTTTTTTTTTAAACTTTTTTAGATGTCAGTTATGTTTTATATCAAAGTAATGTATTTTTATCTTGGCATGTCTCCTACAAGACACTGTAAAAACATCCATATCTAAATGTGTGTTCATCCGAGTCTTTTGCCGTTCACGGCTCAAGAATTTTTAAGATCGACCCTCAGTTTTTGTACAGCGACTGTTTGTTTGAGGCTTACTTTTCAGTCTGTTTCTGCCTGTTAGCTGTGGTTACTGTGGTGACCAAAATGAAACATTGAGAAACAATTCTTTAGATCTTATTCCTCTTAACATGTCTTATAAAGATTTTAGATCAAAATGTAAACAATTTTACATAATTCAAATTATAACAAAGTTGATGTTTGAATTTTTGTCTGCAGCTTCATTGGCCAACTTCAAAATATATTCAGGAACTTTCCAGTTAATGATGCTGCCAGTAAAATGTTATCTGTTTTAAAACAAGAACATTATCTCAATATTACTAATTTGATCAAGTTTCCTCAATATTCTTACGTGTCTTACTTGATTGCAAATGCTTTTAAATGTGCTTCAAGAGGAAAAAACATGTTCTGCACAAAAGAAACAAATTACTTCTATACAGAAAATTTATTCCAAACCACACGAGGACGTACTGTAACTGCAGCTCTGAGGTCACATGACCTAGAGTGGAGAGCTCCCTGAAGGAAACTTAGAAAGTCAACAAACTCATCCTACCACCACATCTTTTAAGATACGCTTATGTTCTATATCAAAACGTAGGCATTTTTGTCCTCTTTCCATCAGCATGTGTGCTTTGGCTGTAGGAGTTATGGTTTCTGTGTGAGGTGCCTCAGAAGGAAGAGTGCGATTATTTCACTCCTATGTTCCCCCATAATAATAATGACAACTTTTGGGTTCAGATGACTTTGTGATGAGTGTTTTTAACTAGTGATATATCTGACATATAGTGTTGTAAAAGTGTGAAAATTCACTTGAGTGTGAACCAATCTCTTATTTCGCTCACACTTAAAAAGAATTTCTTCAAAAGACCTTATAGTTTTTACACAGCATGTGTTTGTGCAAAGCAAGATTTTGTCTCTTCTTGCTCCTGCGTCTGGGTTACTGTGCCCCTCCCCTCACACACACACATGCGCATACCCATGTGCACACGCACGCATAGGTGTACACACACACCTCTGACCTGACTTCAGGAACACACATTTGGAAATACGTATAAACTTAGATGGTCTGTCTGTTAGCAGCATATCTCAAGAACAGCTTGTTGGATTTGGTTGAAACTCACAGAAAGTACCATAATTTACGGTCTATAGAGCGCACCTGACTATAAGTTGTGCAGACTACATTTAAAATAAAACATAATTTTATGCATAAATTAGCCGCATTTGAGGATAAGCCATAGGTGTCCACATTTTAATTTCAGAAACTACACAGCTCCTGGCAGAACGTGCTGCTCTTGTTGCAGTACAAGAATCAACCACCAGATGGCGTTTCATAGACTTTATTTTGCGTTCAACACACACACACACAAACAGCCGATCCTCACAGGTCTTCGTGGTAACACCCTTTCTGACTCATGGCTAATCTACTAAATACGTTAACCTACAACCTACTGAAAGAACATAAAAACTAGTCTAAGAAAAACAGACTACCGGTAATCACTGGAGAGAACAGTGCAGCTATCGATAAATGTTTTTGGCACAGAAAGCTCGTTAACTCATGAAAAAACTTACTAAATATTATTTAAAAAATACACATAAATTAGCCGTGGCATTGTATAAGCCGTGGTGTCCAAAGCGTGTGAAAAAAGTAGTGGCTTATACATTGGACATTACGGTAATCCTCAGACGTATCTCTAGAAATTATTAACTTTTGGAGCCATTTTATTTCAGGATGGCTGCCACAGCTGCCTCAGCAAACACAAAATTGACTATAACTCAGTCATTCTTTGAGATATTGAGCTGAAATTTAGTAAGCTAAGAACGAATTGTTATGCGTTCATAATGCAAATCAAATATCCAAGATGGCCACCTCTGTCCATGTTGTTTATCACCAGCTCATCATTGATGGACAGTTAGGGTGTTTAGATGTATTTTTATTATTGGTACGCAGTTTGTGTCTGTGAATGTTTACCACTCTTTTGGATTTTGATCATTTTTTTCATTCAACCTTTATTTAAACAGATAAATCACATTGAGCCTCGAAGACTCATT